TATTATTTACAAAGAGGAGAAATAATTTCTCCCCACTTCTGATACATCAAAGGAAAGCAGCTCAATAATTACGGAATTAATCAAGTCCAGAGATACTCCAGCAAAGTCTTAAAGCAAAAGTCCGGCAATGCAGAATGGCGTGGAAGCTTTCAGCTTTGTTCATCACAAGGCTTGACTGGCCACCACGCTCCCTTTTATACCCTGTGGGGTGTGGTCCAGTGACTCAGCCTAATCTTGGGCACACCTTTTCTTCTGTTGTGCGCGCTTATCTCTGCGACGCTGGCGTGGATCCAGCCAAGACTCATTACCCTCATCACTGTCCATCTGTGGCTGCGTGGACATGCTTGGCCCTGGCCCTATCTCTTGCCCTTCGGCGGACACTGAAGGCATTGCCAGAGAGGAGGTTCCTGGAGAGGGAGGCCTTGCCAACTCCTCCCCTTCACTCTCGGAGTCCTCTCCTGCCGATGACACAGGCTCCGGTAACGGAGCCACAACAATCATATGATGATACGTTGCACGAATTGGATAGGATTGTCTAACAAAGACCAGGATTAAGGGGGACATAATAGCAGTTTTCCAATATTTAAGAGGCTGTCACAGAGAAAAGGAGTTCAATTTATGCCCCCGAAGTACCCAAGGGAAGGAGAAGAAGTAACAGATGGAAGATTATCAGAGAGATCCAAACTAGAACTAAGGAGAAATTTCCTGATAGTGAGAACAATTAACCAGTGGAACTGCTTGCCTCCAGAAGTTGTAGGTGCTCCATCAATGGAAGTTTCTCCAGAATGGACAGTGATGGCTAATCTTTTCCGGACTGAGTGCCCAAAGCACACATGCGAACCCCCAAAATGCAATGTGCATGTGGCCCCGAGCATGCACACTTCCCCCTGCGCACATGCCCCATGCATGCACATGCTCCATGCATGCGTGCGTGGACCCCCGCACATGCGTGCACATCCCCTAAACTCGCCCCACCCCCACGCATGTATGCATGTCCCCCCTGCGTTAGCCTTGCCCCCTGCACATGCACACATACTCCTGCATGCACCCCATCCGCTGTAAATGCGTGTGTGCCCTCCGCACGCGCCCCACCCCCTGCACATGTGCAGCAGAGACCCGACAACCAGCTGGCCAGTGGGAGGCACACGTGCATGCGTGGCAAAGCTGAATTGGGGCTGTTAAGGATATTGGTGTCGTGTTACCAACCAGCAGAGTAAATGCACAAGGAAACGTTGCTGAGAGCAATGAATAAGAGTTATGCAAACTGGTTTATCAAAAGCTTACTTTATAGTAGAAACAACAATCTCATAGTCTTTAAATCAATCCAAGTCTTTGCCAGTTAAATCAGTCCAGTAGTTACAGAATCTTCTTACCCAACAAACAGTAGTTGGTTAGAATAACAAACTCACTCTGGTTCACAAACCACGATGGTAGCAGATCCATCCAACGATGATAGCACAATGGCTAGCACTCCTCACACTACGGTAGCTTATCATAGCAGCATCTGAACACGTTAAAATACCTTGCTTAAATACTCATTACCTAATTACAGCATGACTCAGCATTAAAGCCTTAAAGTTACACAATAGATATTCATATTAAAGTCACAGAACACATATATTGCCTAGACAACTTGTTAGGCTCAAACCATATCCTCACAGGGGCAACAGCTCATGTGCCCACAGCGAGGGCGCTGCGTGCCATAGGTTTGCTATAACGGGTATAGTATCTCCTGCGCAAGCAGGGAGTTGGACTAGAAGACAGCCAAGGTCCCTTCCAACTCTGCTATTCTATATTCTAATTGGGGCCATAAAGGGTCTTATAAGATTAAAGGTTCTTACAATGCCTAGGGAGATTCTCAGTCATCAGGTCGTGGTTGTCCCAAAGGTACTTTTTCAACAAGCAACTGGACTTCGTTTTTCTTTGAAGACATTTCGCTTCTCATCCAAGAAGCTTCTTCAGCTCTGAATGGATGGTGGAGAATGGAAGGATTGATATTCCTTGCAGACTGCTGGTCATTTGCATCAGGGGTGGGTTCTAAATTTTTTTACTACCGGTTCTGTGGGCGTGGCTTATTTTGTGGGTGTGGCTTGGAGGTCATGTGACTAGGTGGGCGTGGCTAGCTGGTCAGAGTCATTTCTGGAAGGTCCTCACACTTACGACCAGTCCTCGCACTTACGACCCGACTCATTTGTTTGCTTTTAACACTGATCAGCTGTAGGGCGGCCCTTTGAAGCCCCGCGTCAAGAGTTTAAACAGTTTTTTTTCCCTCTAGTCATCAGCTGGGACTCAGGAGGCAGCAATAGATTGGGGGTGGGACCAAATAAAAGGTAAGAATAACGTGGTGGGGTGGGAGGGCGGGAGGGGAGAACTGGTTCGGTGACATCATATCGTCACCGCTACCGGCTCGGCCGAACCGGACCGAACCAGGAGGAACCTACCACTGATTTGCATCCTTTTTGAGGGCCATTGAGGCCACTTGGGGGGTTTATCTGTGTCCTCAGGATCACCTGAGTAGTGCGAATGGGTGTGGAGCCTTCTTGGAACTGCTTCTTGGGTTGTAGAGATAGGTTGTATTGTATCCTTCCTATCAATTGATTATAGATTACAGGTTAACAGAGTTGGAAGAGACCTTGTAGGTCATCTAGTCCAACCCACCATCCAAGCAGGAGACCCTACACCATTTCTGACAGATGACAGTCCAGTCTCTTCTTGAAAGCTTCCAATGATGAAGCTCCCACCACTTCGGAAGGCAACTTCTGTTCCATGGGTTGATTGTTCTCACTGTCAGAAACTTTCTCCTCGTTTCTAGGTTGCTTCTCTCCTTGTTCAGTTTCCATCCATTATTCCTTGTCTGGCCTTCAAGGTGCCTTGGAAAATAGCTTGACCCCCTCCTCTCTGGGGCAGCCCCTCAAATAGGGCTGTTCAATTTTAACATAGATATCCTCCTTGATCCCTCTTTCAAACCAGCAGTCCTCCCTGTCCAGAAAGTCTAGGTTGGGGACAGGTTCTCTTGAAGAATATGTGTGGCCTCTAAGTGTGTCAATGACTTTATGTCATATAATCAATCAATCAATACCCTATTAGGCTAAAATCTATGGAGATTCTCAGTCATCCAGGTCATGGATGTCCCAAAAGTGCTTTTTCAAAAGCCAACCGGACTTTGTTTTTCCTTGTAGATGTTTCACTTCTCATCGAAGAAGCTTCTTCATTTCTTGTAATGCAGAATCTCATAGATTTGATATAATATGCATCAGCATCTCATAGGTTTGATATATGAATGCAGCTCACAAGGTCCCTTTTACCACAACTCCAAGGCAACTTAATCCCCGTAGCTCTTACAACAATGCATTGTTGTAATAGCTATTGTTGTATGCATTGTTGTAATAGCTATTGTTGTATGCATTGTTGTAATAGCTATTGTGCTGGATGCAACATGCTTGGCATGTTGCATCCAGCACAATATGTTGAAAGAATTGGGTGTCTCAGAATGACTCAGACAGTCTCCTGATGCAGCAAACTGGACGGACGATCAAAGTAATGCATTTGGCTTTGATTTGTATTTATCATTTGAAATAGTACTACCACTTTATACTATGTTTGTAAGACAAACATTTGAAATACCGCATCCAAGGTTGGTCACCACAATTCAGAAAAGATGTGGAGATTCTAGAAAGAGTGCAGAGAAGAGCAACAAAGATGATTAGGGGACAGGAGGCTAAAACATATGAAGAACGGTTGCAGGAATTGGGTAGGTCTAGTCTAATGAAAAGGGATGCAGTGGCTCAGTGGCTAAGACGCTGAGCTTGTTGATCGAAAGGTCGGCAGTTCAGCGGTTCGAATCCCTAGTGCTACGTAACGGGGTAAGCTCCCGTGACTTGTCCCAGCTTCTGCCAACCTAGCAGTTCGAAAGCAGGTAAAAAATGCAAGTAGAAAAATAGGGGCCACCTTTGATGGAAGAGAACAGCGTTCCGTGCGCCTTTGGCGTTGAGTCATGCCGGCCACATGACCACGGAGACGTCTTCGGACAGCGCTGGCTCTTCGGCTTTGAAACGGAGATGAGCACCGCCCCCTAGAGCCAGGAACGACTAGCACGTATGTGCAAGGGGAACCTTTACCTTTACTTTAGTTTACTGAAAAGAAGGAGTAGGGGTGACATGAGAGCAGTGTTCCAATATTTGAGGGGCTGCAACAAACAAGAGGGGGTCAACCTATTCTGCAAAGCGCCTGAAAACAGGACAGGAAGCAATGGATGGAAACCATCAACTATCAAGGACAGAACCTTCCTAACCGTGAGAACAAATAACCAGTGGAACTAAAGTTGCCTTCACAAGTTGTGGGTGCTCCATCACTGGAGGTTTTTAAAAAGAGACTGGACACACACTTGTCTGGAATGGTATAGGACCGTGATGGTGAACCTATGACATGCATGCCACAGGTGGCACATGGAGCCATATCAGTGGGCATGCGAGCTCAGCTCCGGCGTGCATGCGCGCCCTGGCTAGCTGATCTTTGGGCCTTTTGGGCCCACTGGAAGTCAGGGGAAAGGCTGTTTCCGGCCTCCGGAGGGACTCCCGGGGAGTGGGGGAGGCCATTTTCGCCCTCCTAGAAAGGCCCTGGAGCCTGGGGAGAGCGAAAAATGGGCCTACCTTGCTATCACATGCCAAAAGTAGGGGGAATACGGGGGGGGGGGGGGGCCCAAGCAGGCACAGGGGGTGGGGCACATAGAATTATGGGTGTGGGCATGCACACAAACGACCCCCCCACACACTCCCCCCACTTTTGGCACGCGATGGCAAAAAAGGTTAGCCATCACTGGTATAGGATCTCCTGCTTGAGCAGCGGGTTGGATTAGAAATCTCCAAGATCCCATCCAACCCTTTTGTTCTCTATTTTGTCTAAGAACCAAGGAAGATTAAATGAACCTTAATCCAGTTGCAGTTCTCTCTCCTTGTTTAATAGCTCTAGATATTTATATATGCTTCTTTTTTTCACGACAGCCCAATCTCTGCGATGTTTTTCATGCCGGGAGCCCACAAGACCTGAGAAATGCATGACAGTGACTAACTGTACGCCAAACCAAACCATGTGTATGACGACAATGCATTCTCTTGAAGAAGGTGAGGTTGAAGGACAAAGTTGATCTAAGACGCGCAAGTCTTCCTTTCTACAGGTCAAGGTCAAATGGAGAAGACTTTCTCTCCTCTTCCTCCTCAGTCTATGAAAAAGGGATTAAAAATGTATGTCTCTGGATCATCCTCACATAACCTCACAGCCTGGGCATGACAAAGTGTGCAGATATTTTGCATGTTGGCAATGACATAGATATTTTGCATGTTGGCAATGACAAAGAGTGCAGACAAGAGCAACAAAGATAATTAAGGGGCAGGAGGCTAAAACATTTGAAGAACGGTTGCAGGACATGGCAATGACATCAAGATAACAGGTGGCTACTAAAAAGGGAGAACCTGTTGAATTGTCTATGGGGAATCTCAGTCATCCAGGTCATGGTTGTCCCAAAGGTGCTTTTTTTCCATGGCATATGCAGTACAATGCAGTGAGATTTGTACGTTGGGGAAACAAAACAACCACTTCACAAACGCATGGCACAACGTAGCAGAACAAACCCATCTGGACAAGATTCAGCATTTAAAAGACAAAGGCCACGGTTTTGAGGACCACCAAGTCCACATTTTGGACAGAGAGGACTGCTGGTTTGAAAGAGGGGCCAAAAAGGCCATCTATGTCCAAATTGAACAGCCCTCTCTCGACAGAGGGGGTGGGTGGGATAAAAACATCATCTAACTCCAGTCTACAACATAGTCCTTTCAACAGTTCCAAGAAGGCTCCACACCCACTTGCACCACTTAGGTGACCCTGAGGACACAAATAAACCTTCAAATGGCCTCAACGACTCGCTAAAAGGATGCAAATGACCAGCTTTGTCTGCAAGGAGTATCAATCCTTCCATTCCCCACCATCCAGTCAGAGCTGAAAAAGCTTCTCAGATGTGAAGTGAAACATCTTGAAGGTGTGGAGCCTTCTTGGAACTGCTGAAAGGACTGTGTTGCAGACTGGAGATAGATGATATTGTATCCCAACCCCCCTCTGTTGAGAGAGGGCTGTTCAATTTGGACATAGATGGCTTCTTTAACCCCTCCTTCAAACCAGCTATTTTCTCTGTCCAAAATATGGTCTTTTAAAAGACACAGGCCACTCTTTTGAAGACAACAAGGTCCATATTTTGGATAGAGACAGGATCCATTCTCCATCCATTCTTCTTCAGCTTCTTGAATGAGAAGCGAAATGTCTTCAAAGAAAAACCAGAAAGTCCAGTTGCCTCTTGAAAAGAGCACCTTTGAGACAACCAGGACCTGGAGGACTGAGAACCTCCATAGACTTCTCCTTAGATAGTAGGAACCCAGAAATGGGGAGGTCTTGGGCATTGTAATTCTGCAGTCGTTTTAGTTTAAAGCACCCTCCAGTTCATGAGTGTCAACAGAGGTGATCCACAAAGTCAAGACTTCAATCACAACCGTGGAATCAAAGCTCTACTGTGCACGTGTGATGCGCAAAACCTTCAGATGAAGCTTTGATAGCCACTCTTGATTTTATTAACTACATCCCACAGAGTTTATGACACCCTATGGATAGAAAGGGAACTTATCAAATTCTCCAACACTTGGGAAGATAGATTCAACATTCAGAAGGATCTCAGCAGACTTTTTTTTTTAAAAAAAAATTGATTTATATGCTGCCCTTCTCCGGAGATTCAGGACGGCTTACAATGTGCTAAGCAATAGCCTTCATACTTTTGTATATTTATACAAAGTCAGGTTATTGCCCCCACAACTGGGTCCTCAATTTACCTACCTTAGAAAGGATGGAAGGCTGAGTCAACCTTGAGCCTGGCGAGATTCGATCTTACTTTAATTGCAGACAGCTGGTGTTAAATACAATGCTTTTAGTCTGCTGAGCCACCAGGCCCGTGACTTGAGCATTGGGCTCTATCCAACAAGTGTTTTGATCCAGTTCCCCAAACACGACAAACCCTCTGAAGTGAACTCAAAGATTCCTTTATTAGGAGCGCCAGCGCCAGTTTCTCTCTCAACGCAGGGTAACAAGTCCGACCAGCCAGGAGATGAATAGTTGTCTGCCACATCTATTCATCTCTGCCCCCTGCCTATTATCCCCAGAGCTAGGGTGGGGCTTCGCTAGCAGCAGTGGCTCTTCCATCCCAAGGACCGGCCCACAGATTTCCACTGCTCTCCTCTCCTCTGCCTTCTGCGCATCCGCGTTTCAGGCACTAGACCCAGCTGTTCCTGTTCTTCCTCATCAGCCACCTCCAGACCTGGGGGCTGTTGACTCTCCATCTGTGGGCTGACGGATGGCCTAGGCTCTGCCACCCTCTCTCTCTGCCAGTTCCATTCTCTCTTCCCCCTCGAAGCTCTCGGGTTGCCTTGATGCTGACCCTGACTCCCACGCCTCCTCCTCCTCCTCTGATTTGATTGTTGGAGGTGCCACAACAACAAGATGCAGTTCAGTGTTGTGAAAAGTAAGGTCCTACTCTTAGGCAGGAACCACCAAATGCACAGGTATAGAATAGGGGGTACCTGGCTCAATGTTAGTTACTGAGAGAGGAATCTAGAAGTTCTAGTGAACACTTAAGTGTGGCCCAGCAGTGTAGTACTGGAACACTTTGTCCTGTTTTGGTCACCATTATAGAAAACAGATGTTGAGATTCTAGAAAGAATGCAGAGAAGAGCAACGAAGATGATTAGGGAGCTGGAGGCTAAAATGTACAGGAGCCTGGATAGCTCAACAGACTAAGCGCTGTAATTTAACACCAGCTGTCTGTAATTAAAGTAAGATCGAATCTCGCCAGGCCCAAGGTTGACTCAGCCTTCCATCCTTTCTAAGGTAGGTAAATTGAGGACCCAGTTTGTGGGGGCAATAAGCTGACTTTGTATAAAAATATACAAAAGTATAAAGGCTATTGCTTAACGCATTGTAAGCCACCCTGAGTCTCCGGAGAAGGGCGGCATATAAATCAATTTTTTAAAAAAAATGAACTGCAAAGGGAACTAGGAGATATGTTTAACCTAATGAAGAGAAGACTCAGGAGAGACATGATAGGATCTTCCAATACTTGAAGGGTTGTCACAAGGAAGAAGGGGTTGAATTATTTTCCATAATTCCTGAGGGCAAGACAAGAAGCAATGGGTGGAAGCTCCTCAGAGGGAGATCCAGTTTGGAAATAAGGAGGAATTTCCTGGCAGTGAGAACAATTAATCGGTGGGATAGCTTGCTTCCCAGAGTTGTGGGTGGCAGTGATGGGATTCAAATAATTTAACAACCGTTTCTCTGCCCTAATGACCAGCTGGGTAGGCGTGGCTCCGTGGTCATGTGACCATGTTGGCATGGCCAACTTAACATGTTGATGGGCGCTTCGCCTTAGCTGTTACAATGTAATAAGGGTTAACCAGAGAGGCAGTTTCTGTAAGCAGGGCAATAAAGATTAGGCTAGAAATAACACCAGAATGTTTCCTTCCTGCCTTCCTTACAGGATTAGCCCTGTAAAGTGAAAAAAAAACAAAATAAGATTTCTTCCAACAACCGATTCTCCGAACTGCATAGAAAGTTAACAACCGGTTCTCCCGAATAGTGCGAACTGGCTGAATCCCACCACTGACTGGAGGTCTTCAAAAAAAGATGGGATAACCGCTTGCCCAGGGGGGTATAAGATCTCCTGCCTTGGTTTCGGGGTTGGGCTAGAATAGGGGTATCAAATTCAATGCTCACGGGGCTGGCCTGGAAACAGCAAAGGACCAGCCCACAGTGCCTCTGCCAGGGAAAATGGAGCTCAGGGGAGTGAGGCGTGTGCAGCCCCCACCCGGCTCCATTTTCCTTGGCAGAGGACTATCAAAACAAACTGAAAACAAAACAAAAGGAGAAATGTTTCCCCTTTTGCATTTGAGCATGCAAGAAGGGACAGGAAAGGAGAAAGGGAAACGAGGAAAGAGGACGAAAAAGAAGGGATGATGGGAAGAGAGCAAGGAAGAAAAAAGAAGGAAAGAAGGAAAAGAAGAAGAAAGGAGAATTAGGGAAGCAAGGAAGGAAAAAGAAGAAAAAGAAGAAAAGGAAGGAAGGAAGGAAGGAAGGAAGGAAAGAAGGAAGGAAGGAAGATTATAATAAGAGTGAGGGAGGGTCACAGGGAAGTCCTTCCTTAGCACTTGGCCACCACAGATGCCCCTGACACAAGTGACATTGAGCTGACCATGCCCACCACCAATCATGCCCACCACCAGCCATGCCCACACCCGGCCTTCCGAGGTCAAACACAACCCCGATGCAGCCCTCAATGAAATCAAGTTTGACACTCCTGGACTAGAAGATTAACAAGGTCACTTCTAGGCCCATCACTAAAGGTTCGATGATGATTCTGTTGCCACAACCGCACCAGAAATAAGTGGGATCATTTTCTAACCCAGCAGACCAACATAGGAACTCTGAGGCCTCGAGTCATTTTTAAGGCTAGCACATGCCCAGACGTGAAAGTGCCCTTCCCATTACAGCTGTTGCCTTGCCCTATAATTATCTAGAACTCTACTCTGCTGACCATGGGATCCCCAACTGCAGGGCAGGAGAGATGAAAGGAAGGAACAACCCAAAAGAAAATTGCTTACTTGAACTTTCTGTGCTACAGTGAAATCCGAAAGTTGGAAGAGTAGATTATTCTACCTGAGACTTCCTGGGAAACAACAACTGAATGAAAATTTGCTGGTAGAATTACCTTCAACCATTGCACCATAGAGAGTATTTTAATTTACTGCACCTGTGCATGATTTGCCAATTGCAGATAGAACGGTGCTCCAGAGAGTCAACATCATTGCCCAGAGGATCATTGGTCGCCCTCTCCCCTCTTTGGAAGAGCTTTATAGCTCCCGCTGCCTTAAGAAAGTTCAGAACATTCTTAAAGATCCATCTGATCCTGGGCACCCTTTTTTTTGAACTATTACCATCTGGCAGACGGTACAGGACAATAGGCTGAAAAACAGCTTCTATCCCAGGGCAGTAACTATATTGAATTCTACTGTATAGTGCAATATTAATGCAATATCAGGGGTTTTAGTTGTATAGAATGTGAAGGATGTGTGTTTTTGTTTTATTTTTATAGTTTTCTTAAATAATAATAATAATAATAATAATAATAATAATAATAATAATAATAATAATAATAATAATAATAATAATAATAATAATAATTTTATTTCTATACCGCCCTTCTCCCGAAGGACTCAGGGCAGTGTACAGCCTATTAAAAGCAGAAGACAAACATCAATTAAAATAATTTAAAATTATTAAATAAATTATTTAATTTATATATATATAAATTATTAAATAATTATTAAAGTATGATGTACACTGAAGATGGCATTTAATTTTGTTGTACGAGGTGCAATGACAATAAAGTAACCTAAAGTAGAACAGGTTGGCAACTCAGCTGTCAGGTTTCGATGTCATCTCAAATAAATTGCACTCCCAAACAATTAATCTTTGCTGAAATATTCCATTTATTGAGTACGACAGATCTGGCCCCGACTTCGTCGTAGCCGATACTAACCCTCTGACCCCCAAACCCTTCCCTTTCCGTTCCCCAATTCTCATCTTCTCATTGGCCATCTTCCAAGTCAGTCTCCCCAGCTTCTGACCTCAGCCCACAGGAATGTTCCCCCTCCATCCCATCTCCTAGGGGATATTATCTACAGAGAAAATAAGTAGGTGAAAAGTCAAGCCTCGTCTCCTCCTTTTTATGGCAGCATCAGAATGCTGACATCAGCATCTATGGGTGTGAGGAACTGTGGGTATCCCTAAGCGATACCTGGATGGATCTGCATGATCTTAAGATGTTCGCAGTCTAAATATCCATCAGAGAAGATGTCCTACAGATCTCATCCTTCCAAGGTGGTCCAGATATTAGGAGAGATTGGAGGACATCATGGGGTCAATTCTAGCAGGATACACAGGTCTTTGCGTGTGTGTTTTTTTTTGCCATAAAGCAATGCCTGAATTCTCTGGATTTTTCTGGTTGTTTGGCAGTCTACCCTTTTGTGGGCGAACTCACCGTCACACGGTCCTGTTCTCTGACCTGCAACCTTTCCGAGATAGACGAAATTGGTTCCACGCGTCTGATGACCTGTTGCCGCACTGACCTCTGCAACCACAGTGGGGCCTCCTGGCTAGAGATCAGCTACACCATGTTGGGAGGAATTCTGGCTTCTTTCTTCCTCGTCTTCAGTTGAGACTGAATTGCTCCAGGATTTGGCCGAGAGTCTACTTTACTTTCTTAGAACGATGGGTTCAATGATGGGCTGTCCTCTCTTCCTATTCCTGGATTCCTCTTTGTCTCAAATAAAGAAAATGGGAGCAGAAACTTTGGTCTGGAACTTACTGCAAAAATATCTGTAGCTCAGGGTTGAACTGTGTGGTCCTTGGAGTTCTCTCAACTTGATTGTTTTCTTTCTTTCTTTCTTTATTTGTTTCCATTTCTATACCGCCCTTCTCCAATAGGACTCAGGGCGGTTTTCTTGCAGGCCTTTCAATGCACAACATCAGCATTGCAAGAAGAGAGTGAGGTTTGTGGAGTGGACAAGAAGGGGTGGAGGAAGAGGACGAGGAGAAGGGTGGAGGAGAAATGTGGTGTCCTTGCTGTTTTCTGAGCTTGCTTGTTTTCTTGGAAATGTTTCATCACCCAACTTTCCCAATTATCAGTGCTAGAAATGTTTGTGGAGAGGAGGAGGAGAACTGCGGGGACCTTCGTGCTCTCCAAAATTGGTGGTTTTCTTGGAATGTTTCATGACCCAACTAGGTAACATGAGTACTAGAAGGGAGTGGGGTTTGTGGGGAGGAGGAGGAGGAGGAGGAGAAAAAGGAGGAGTCCTTGGTGGTCTCTTTCCCTGCTTGTTTACTTCTTGCAGACATTTCTTTACCCAACTAAATAACATCACCAGTGCTAGAAGGAATGAGGTTTGTTTTCATTTGCTGCAAAAATGTTGGAAAATGAATGTGGTTGTTGGTCAGGTTAGTGTCAAGTTTCCGAAAGATGCCCTAATTAATTCATGAGCCATGATCCAAACTTCAAAGGAAATATAGTCATTTATTAGGAGCAACATTCCGGCAATACTCGGATGCAGTTAGGACTGATCCCACGTAGATTTACGTTCCCCTATGACCCTGTCTCTCCCCTCCTCCCTGGCCATGTCATAAATCACATTCTCCAATTAACCACTTTGGCTGGCTGTGAAACCTAACACCCTCCTTCTGATTGCGGTCAGGAAGAATGTATGGAATTCACTTCAGTTCTCCCTCCCTCCTGCTCATGGCAACTTGAAAGCTTTGCAAGTTGACAGTTAGTTCTAATCTTACATGCACTTCCAGATAATCCTGAGATCCAGATCAGTGCAAGCTTACATGTCGCACAGTTCAGCTAGCAAATATATACCCTGATGTTCGTTAATTAAATTTTAGCAAATGACAAGACAGTTTGAGGAGGCAAAAATGGGATGACACGCAAGTGATAAACAAGCCTTCATTTTATGTAGTATTTTAAGTGCCTCTACAGCTTTGAAAAAATGCTAATTAGAAAGCATCACTGTTCTGTTTTGAATTTATCTCCATTCATTTTTTAAAAGATGAATTTTAATGTGATTTTGTGCTGAGCTGTTGGTTTTGGTTAATTGTGCAAGGCACATTTCATATCTGCCTTGTAAATCAATCCAAGAAGAAGCCAGCATGGCACAAAGATCTCTCTGACAAATTGAAAGACAAAAAGGACAAGTATAAAAAATGGAAAGAGGGACACATAACTAAGGCAGAGAATATCAGCAGATAGCCAGAATTTGCAAAGACGAAGTCAGGAAAGCAAAGGTTCAGAATGAACAAAGACTTGCAACAAAAGTCAAAGATTATTAAAAAAGTTTCTTCCGACATATAAATAACAAGAAAAAAAAATCAAGGAAACAGTTGGTCCACTAAAGAGAGAAGACGGCAAAGAAGTCTTGATAGTACAGTGGTTTAATGCACCCTGTTATTAACACAGCTGCCTGCAATTACTGCAGGTTCGAATCTCTCAAAGGCTCAAGGTCGACTCAGCCTTCCATCCTTTCTAAGGTAGGTGAAATGAGGACCCAGTTTGTGGGGGCAATAAGCTGACTTTGTATAAAATATACAAAAGGATGAAGGCTATTGCTTAACACATTGTAAGCCGCCCTGAGTCTCCGGAGAAGGGCGGCATATAAATCAAATTAAAAAAAAAAAAAAGTAACAGGCAGCAGAGAGAAAGCAGAGCTGCTTAACTCATTCTTTGCATCGGCCTTCAAGCAAAAAGAAACAATATTGATTGGTCAATATTGGAAAAGGGTTGATGTGCCTACAATTCAAGAATGGATCTTGAAGATGGCCAGTTTCGCAGAAATGGCGAAGATATCAGCATACTTAAAAGACTGGACTCAAGAGAGTTATGTATGGGAGTGGAAGAATTGGATAGATTATGTGCAGAATAAATACCAAACCAGGAAGTACCAGATAGTTTTTAGCTAAATGTTGTGTAGAAATGTATAGTTTATAAGGGGCGAAATAGTTTATTGTGATGTAAAAATTTATAGTCCACAGGGAGGGGAATAGAGGGGTGGTAAAGTATGACATAATATAATATGGATGGATTTCACCTTGGGGAAGTCATGGGGAGGGAGGGTTTGGAGGGGTTGGGGAGGGATTGGGGGGGGGGAAATGGGGGAAAAATTTGTTGTTTGTAAAACTTTTCCAATAAAAAAAGCAAAAAGAAACAATAATCCAACCTACCAAAAACATAACTGTAAAAGACAGACTAGAAATAAAAATTAAAATAAACAAAAAAAAATGGTAAGAGAACACTTGTCTGATCTTGATGAATATAAATCACTGGAACTTGATGGATTACATCCTAGAGTTCTGAAGGAGTTAGTAGACATCATCTCAGAACCACTGTACCACATCTTCCAAAAATCCTGGAGCACTGGGGAATTACCAGAGGACTGGAAAAGACCTGATGTGGGTCTCATCTTCAAAAAAGAGGAAAAAAACAAACCCAGGAAACTACAGCCTAACATCAATACCAGGGAAGATACTGGAAAAGATAATAAAAAAACAGATCTGCCAACATCTAGAAACGAGTAAAGTAATGACTAGAAGTCAACATGGGTTTGTTAAAAACAGATTATGCCAAACCAATCTGATTTCATTCTTCAACATAGTGCCTAAATTAGTAAACCAGCAAAATACTGTGGACATAATATACTGTACTTAGACTTCAGTAAGGCATTCGACAAAGTAGACCGCAACCTACTTCTTGGTAAGCTAGAAAAAAGTGGGATAGATAACATCACCATCAGATGGATTTGTAACTGGCTGACAAACTGTACTCAACAAGTAGTCCTTAATGATGTTGTAGAAATGAAAGGCTGAAACACATTCCTGGGTCAGACAGATTCATTTATTTGCGCAAAGGTTCAGTGCAATGTTTGGTTCTAGCAAATCTGAACAAAGACGAATTATGATTTCATGATTTAAATATGTTTTCAAGACAAAGAGTTCTATGAGCCCTTCCGGCTTCCATATATGGTTACATTAAAAATACATTATACTTACATTACACTTTACTAATTACCAAACCATTACATACTAGTTAATGAAATTATTGTGGCTACACATTTTCACTACTCCATCAGTTACTAATTATTAAACTATTACAACTTTTACTAACTCATCACTTTATAGTTTACAACTGTCCTTTAAGTGCTGTAATGTTTAAATGCAGAAATTATGGCTATACTTTAAACAATAAGTAACCTTCTGTCTCCCATGTATATCTGTTCAGATGTTCACATATATCTGAATTTCCGTAGTTTCTGATTCTATTAAGAAGATGTATAGAATCAGTGTGTTTGACACAGGGCCATAGGTCAAGTAATTATGGGGACATCCATGAACTAATTGCTCAGTTTCTTTTCTTTATCTGAGTCAGTCATTCACCAGAACCCCACTCTTAGCTTTCCTGATGGATGACAGCTGGGCCTCATCAGAAGATATATTTACCAATAATGGAGTTCAGCTAACAAGCACGTGAATAGAGAGGTTCTCTCAAAGTTTATTCAGAGTTCATAGATTTGATCTGACTTTATGTACCTGACTTGGAATGATTATTTCTTTTATTCACCTTATTTGCTACTAATTACCTCATTTCTACCTCAATGATACTACATCTACATGGAGGGAAGTAAGCAGTAGGTTCTGTCCTAGGCCCGGTACTCTTCAATATCTTCATAAATGACTTAGATGAGGGAATAAAAGGGGATCTTACCAAATGCAGATGATACTAAACTGGCATAGGCAACACATTAGATGATAGACTCAGGATCCAGATGGATCTGGACAGACTTAAACACTGGGACCTATCTAACAACCTGAAATTCAATGTAGAGAAAAGCAAAGTCTTACACTTAGGCAAGAAAAACCAAAAGCACACATATAGACTGGGTGGAACCAGACTTAATAGCAGGAACTGTGAGAGGGATGAATCAATTAAATATGAGCCAACAGTGTGCAGCGGCAGCCAAAAAAGCCAATGCAATCCTAAATTGCATTAACAGAGAGATACAATCAAGATCAAGGGAAGTACTAATATCACTCTATAAAGCCTTAGTAAGACCAAACCTAGAACGCTGCATCCAGTTTTGGTCACCACACTATCAAAAAGATGTTGAGACTCTAGAAAGAATGCAGAGAAGAGCAACCAGGATGATTAGAGGACTGGAGGCTAAAACATACAATGAACGGATGCAGGAACTGGGCATGGCTAGTCTAGTGAAGTGAAGGACCAGGGGAGACATGATAGCAGTCTTCCAATATTTGAGGGGCTGCCCCAGAGAGGAGGGGGTCAACCTATTTTCCAAAGCACCTGAAGGCCAGACAAGGACTAATGGATGGAAGCTGATCAAGGAGAGATTCAACCTAGAAATAAGGAGGGATTTTTTGACAGTGACAACAATCAACCAGTGGAGCAGAAGTTGCCTTCGGATGTTGTGGGAGCTTCATCACTGGAAGCTTTCAAGAAGAGACTGGACTGCCATTTGTCAGAAATGGCGTAGGCTCTCCTGCTTGAGCAGGGGGTTGGACTAGAACCGTGATGGCGAATCTATAGCACGCGTGCCACAGGTGGCATGCAGAGCCATATCTGTGGGCACGCAAGCGTTGCCTTAGCTCAGCTCCAGCGCGCATGCGCGCCCCAGTCATCTGGTTTTCAGGCGTTCTGGGCCCACCGGAAGTCAGAAAATGGGCAGTTTCCGGCCTCTGGAGGGCCTCCAGGGGGTGGGGAAGGCTGTTTTTGCCCTCCCCAGG